AAGATGCGGTCATCATCAACCACTGCACTTTTCTTTAAACTTAGAGGGGAGGGGGAAATAGTAACAAATTGGTTAAAAAGAATTGATTACTGCACACTAATGCCTGCTTCAGTCCGGCTGAAGCTCGGAGTCCAGACAGTCCATTAAGGCTGCAGCATCTTACTCATCTAATGGAGACCAGGCATTGGGAAATTTAAGAGATACCACTGTTTACATGGGATATTTTTGTTCTGCACTTTTGCCAGTCGGCTTTTGTGGTTTCTTTTAAAGAGCCACAGTGGGTCAGTTTGTTTTGTGATAGCCAAACACTCACTTGAGTTGATCTCACTCAGAGTGACCCTATAGGACACAGTGGAACTGCTGTAAAATCTTATGGGAGCAGCCGGTCTCATCTCTCTTCTGCAGAGCAGTTGGTGGGTTTGAACTACTGGCCTTGCAGTTCGCAGCCCAATGAGTAAACCACCAGATAAAAACACACACAAATACCGCCATCAACTTGGTTCTGACTCCTAATGACCCTATAGGACAGGGTAGAACTGCGGGTTTACAAGTCTGAAACTCTTCACAGGAGTAGAAAGCCTCATCTTTGTCCCACAGAGCAGTTGGTAGTTTGGAACTGCCGACCTTGCTATTAGTAGCCCAACACATAAATATACCAATGCACCGGTATGCCACTTCTTAATATGGCTTTAAAATACAGAAAACTGTTCCTAGAGTATGACTTGGAAAACAGAATCAGAACCCCAAAAAACCAAGGGTCAATGAGAATGTGCATGGTGAAAAAACGGGGTAAGAAGGAAAAGAGGAGAGGAATCTGAGGGGTGGGGGTGGGGGGTGTGAAGTTGAAAACTGTCATAAAGAGTTGTGACACAACTCGAGGTCTATCTTGGCCCATTTGCCTGAACACACCGATCCTAGCATGCAATCTCTACAACCATTAGCCCATGGGTACTGTATGTTTCAAAGTCTAGACCCACAATGTGCACTTGAACATTCTGTGATGGCAGAAGTTCTCTCTCTCTCTCCTCTACATTCTAGAAATGTCTAGCCACATGCAGCTTCCGCCTGGAATGGGCAACACAGGTCTAGAATGTAGGATTGTTTGGAAGCCTCACCAAGCTACTCATTTTACTTGCATTTCATAGATTTTGCATGCGTGAACTAAACGATATTTCACATGTATGCCCACACATATCCTCTGCCTGCCCAACTTCACGCTTTGTGGGAAACAGAAAGGTTATGCCCGAGGTTGTCCCCCACATATTAGATACCACCCCTAAGGTCCTGCTTGCTAACACATGGTCAGTGACTATATACATGGAGAGCAACTGCTTAAAAGTTATCTCCCTGAGGGTTTTCAGCAATCTGGAGCAATCAGGCCCTATAAAGTAGGGACCACCCCCTTCTGGTAAGGATAATTGACTGCTCCCCTGAAGGAGAGCCCAGAGACAAAGTCAAGCCAGTTCAGGGAGGTCCAAGGTTAGGGTAACATCTTCAATCTAGAGTCAACCCATCTTGTCACATGTATCCCCCTAGTGCCTCCCCTTCCTATTGCGTGTACATCCCCTAGCTCGTCCCCCTCCTGTTGCACATAATGCCTATTGTACAACCCCTTCCTGTGACGATGTAATTAGGGGGGGGCTTGCATGTCCCCTAAGTGTACATGAGCCTTGATTGGAAATGCATTCTCTCTCTGTGCAGACCTGGCTGCTGAGATCATGGCCATCCCAGAGGTGAGCAATCTCACGCCTTATCTTGTCTAAAGAGGTCTCTTTAATCTTACCTCTCAATTACACAACCACCCACTTGGACCAGTTTGATTGTGGAGGCGGGTACCCCACAATGCTTCTTGATTTTACAGTGATCTGACTCATTATCTCCTTAAGATCTCTCTGCTAGAGCAGAAGTGTCCAGAGAACAGACCCCGGGCGTGTCTTTTCCGCCTAACCTAGCACTGGGGTAAGCACTGGGCTGCTAGCAGCAAGGTCAGCAGTCGGAATACATCAGGCGCTCCTGGGGAGAAAGGTCTGACACTGCTCCCCTGAAGATCTACAGCCTTGGAAACCTTACCACACGGTGCTGCTCTGTCCTACAGACTTGCTCTGACCTTGTGGGTAGCAGCTCAACGCTGCGTCCCCAAGGCTCTCACATACACTCACACATGTACATAGCGATAAAGCCAAACCTGCTACCTGTGAACCAATTTCAAATCACGGCAGCCTCGTGGGCTTCATAGTAGAACTGGGCTTCGTAGTTTTCCGCGGCTTCCTGTCCTTTTGAGGGAATCCTATCTACCTAGTTCTGTTCTCAAAGCCACGGTATTATGGTGCTCATAAGTAGATTAGAATCCTACCTCAACTTTCGAGCCCCGAGCCTCAGTTTCCCCATCCGAAAATTATTTTTTTCTGGAAGAGTTTTTGCTTTGAAAGAAAGGTTGTGTCATGAGTTTGTTGGGAGGGGAGGATAGCATGTGGTGACGAAGGGGACCGGGACCGGGCCGGCAGCACCACAGGGGTTCGTGTGCGCCGCCGAGGGAAGCGTGGGTCACCATTCGGGAGGCCTCCAAACCCCACCGAGGAGGCTAAGAGTTGGTGATGTTCTGAGGTACAGGGAGAGGGTCTGCGGTGAGAAGGCAGGTGTGAAGGAAGGAAGGAAGGGAGGGAAGGAGAAGCCACTCAAAGGCAGGCCTTGCGTGAAGATTCTTCTCCGCTCTCTGCTGCAACCCGGCTATGTTTGTCCAACCACCGTGTGCACGGCGTCTGTCACTGTGGCCTCTCCCCTGTCTGTTTATCCAGTACCAAAGATCACAAGGCCACTGGCCACTTGACCGTCAAACCGTAGTGGGGGACCTTTGGTTTCTAAGGGCTTCACCTACTCAAGAGCCTCTTTGGCATTCCAATGCCAAAACTACTGCCACCAACCCATAAAACCCTAGGACAGAGTAGAATGGTCCCCGTAGAATTTCTGAGCCTGCATGTCTTTCTAAAACCACACTGCCTCATCATTGACCTGCAGAGCCGCTAATGGGTTTGAACTGTGCAGTTTTCAGCTCAGCAGCCCAGCACGTTAAACCACTGAGCCTACCTTCGGATAGCACCTGTAAACAGCTGAGTTAAATAACAGTGCTAACAGTCTCTATATAAAGTGCTCCTTGGGGTGGGAGTGGGGGTGGGGTGATTAACCTCTGGGTTTGGTTTCTAGACTCCCTGACAGGTGGGTATGTAAAGCCTCAAGATCTGAGCAACCAGTGTCCACAAGAAGGAGGAGAGGAGGGCACCTGTCCATACCTCGGCTTCCTGCAGAGTCCCGTGCTTCAGGCACACCATGTCAGGGCACGTAATGGGAGACCCACATCCTTCTCGGATTGCCAGCTGCGTGTACTGTTTCAGGCACTGGAACAAGAAAGCAGACAGACCATTCATTATCCGCCACATCACAGGGGCACAAAGTGTATCCAACATACTCGCCCCGGCCTCTTCTTCCTTAATTGGCAGTCCCGGGCCTCTTGGACCGAGAAACAGAAGCTATCGCAAGTGTGAATACTAAGAGGCATCACTTTGGAAAGAATGCAGAGACAGGCGATTAATTATGTATGACTTCATCCTCGGAGTATGGGGTTTATTCCAGGCAGCAAGGCAGATTGCTGTATGCGAACGCATTTTCTCCGACACAGATTGGGAAAAGAAAGAAAAAAAGCACCCTCTCGCACTAAATGCCTCTTCTTTGCTAAAGGGTTTCCATGGCGGCTGACTTCTCAATTCCATGTCTACTCCTTGGTCATCCCTTCCTCGTGGCTTTCCTGAAAGTTCCCCCTGAGCCAACCAGGCAAACACCAAGCAGAATCAAAATAAGAGAAAAGCGGCCTTTCATCGAGGTACACTCTTTCAAGGCCAAGGCACCTGGACAGGTGTCAATTTGGGGAAGACCAGGTGACTTCTTGGTGACTTTGGGGACAGCAAGAAAATGGATACATTAAAAAATGTAGGTCTTGTTTGGCTGATGCCCAAAGAAGGAAATTTGAGGAGAAAAGAGGCCTGGGGCAAGAAGAAACCAGATAGTGTAACAGTGACATGGCAGGGGATCGGGAACCTTCTTTTAGCTGCACATGGGAGAGAGAACCATTATTAACATCAGCCCACGGCTGACGTTCCCTGTGCAAGCGTCAAACAGGCCTCCCCACCTTCCCACCACCTTTTTACCAATTCTGACATCAGCCATCTCCTCCATAGCACTCTTGATTTCTCTGCTGGGTTCAATAATCCATTAGAATAGACACGCAGAACTCACACACTGCATTCACTATTATGGGATTTATTCGAGAAGTAAGAGGTTACAATTCAGGATCAGTAATGACTCAGGATATCGTTCTTTAGTCAGGACAGCCTCTTTGCAGCCAGGCCCCGCTAGCCTTTGGCCTCTCCCTCTGCCCTTTGCCCTACTCAGGCAAGGGTTACAAAGCTTCTTAGCTCTTCCAATAAGGACGGAGGGGTAGCCCACTCCACCAGCAAGCTTCAAAGGCACTCAGATCTCCTGCTGGTCTTCTGCTGCTCCTGCTGCTGCTGATTCTCGGTCATGCTTGCCACCACTTCTTGCCACCTTGCACAATCTCTGGTGCATAGCTCCCTGTCTCCTGAGTCTAGGTTGTTCTCCATGTGGGGTCCCCAGAACCCAAGGGCCACACTCCACTTTGGGCTCTTCTTTTTAGATGGTAGCATGGTCCCCCCATTTCTGTCCCTGTTGGCTCACTTTAAGCCTCATGGGAGGGCAAAGCTGACCAATCCCCTTGATTGGGTTCCATACACAATATTTGCATGGTCCCACCTCCACAAGGGTGGCTTACATCATTAGCACCTTATTTGCATTATTAGCAAGCAGGCCAATCCCCTTGGCCAACAATCATAGGAAGAAATGCTCACGAGTCTAAGCTCTCAGAGAAATAAATTCAAATAAGAACGAGATACATTTCACACCGGCATTCATAACAAAATTTAAAACAAAACCAGAAAATAACCAACACGGGGAAGGACATGGAGAGATTGGCATTGATGCTGGGATGGCAGAACTGTATAGCCCCTATGGAAAACATTATGGTGCTTTCTTAAACAGATGCAAATAGAAAAACCAGGGGAGTATCATACAATGCCACATTACTAGAACTAACCGTCCTTGTACTGATGTCAGATTTAAGTGGAGGCCCAAAGTCCATTTGCCTCCTTGTTGCATTTGAATATATATACATTATATTAACAAATACACATAAATTTATGTATTTTTATATTTTTTCCTTCTTTCCTCTTCCCCCCACCTCACACCCCACTATCATGTTTACTAAATATTTAATAGAAAAAATTTATGGAAAAATCGACTTTTAAAAGATTGTTTTTAAGAAGATTATGGAATGGAAAGATAATAGAATTTTTCTATGCGCTTGAAGCTGCTGTACATTGATCATGTAATGCCAATCCTTGCTGAATTGGCATCAGTGCATTTAAGCTCTCCAGATGATTCCAATGTGCAAGAAAGTCCGAGAACCCCTGGAGTTCAGTGCCATCCATGCCCTCAGTTCTAATCAGGAAAGATAACTGTGTGTCCATCATGAGGTCTTTAAGCCATATATTAATGCCAAGCAACAATAAGCAACAGATTGGGGAGGGACTATTTTCTACCCAACACCTCTATTGAGCATAAATACACACAGTCAGGTTCAGAAGAATATATAGTCCACCCCACCCCGCAGGGGGATGAACAACAGAAACGTGGGTGAAGGGAGACAGCAGATGTGTAAAATATGAAAATAAAAATTGATAAATTACCAAGAATTCATGAGGATGAGAGAGGGAGGAGAAAAAAGAAGCTGATACCAAGGGCTCAAGTAGAAAGAAAATGTTTTGGAAATGATGATGGCATCATATGTACAAAT